CATGCACCCAACATAGGCGCACCAACATTCATAAAGCAACTTCTAGGAAAACTAAAGAAAGACATTGAATCTAACACCATAATAACTGGGGACTTTAATACACCACTCACAACCTTAGACAGATCATCAGGACAAAAAATCAACAAGGAGATCCGGAACCTCAATGAGACTCTGGACCAAATGGACTTAATTGATACCTATAGAACACTCCATCCAAAGACCACAGAATACACATTCTACTCATCACCACATGGAACATATTCTAAGATCGACCACATAATTGGACACAAATCAAGTATAAGTAAATTTAAAAGGACTGAAATTCCGCCATGCACCTTTTCGGACCACAGTGGAATAAAAATAAACATTGACACCAACAAAGTCCCCCCAAAACCCACAAAGACATGGACACTAAACAGCATGATGCTAAATAACTCCTGGGTCAATGATGACATCAAAATAGAGATCAAAAGATACCTGGAAACAAATGAAAATAAAGAAACATCTTACCAAAATCTCTGGGATGCCTTAAAAGCTGTAATAAGAGGGGAATTTATATCCCTACAAACACACATGAGGAAAATGGAAGGAACAGAAATTGACAACCTAACAAGCCACCTAAAGAAGCTGGAAAAGCAAGACCACAAAAACCCTAATTTCAGCAGAAGAATCCAGATCACCAAAATAAAAGCCCAAATCCAGGACATAGAAGACAAAAGATATACAAAAATCAATGAAACAAAAAGCTGGTCTCGAAAGGGTAAACAAGGATTGATGGTCCCTAGCTAGACTGACCAAGAAAAAAGGAGAAAAAAACCAAATAAGCATAATCAGAAACACAAAAGATGAAGTCACATCTGACCCTGAAGAAATACAAAAGATCATTAGAGACTACTACGTACACTTGTATGGAAACAAACTTGAAAACCAGAAGGAAATGGAAGACTTTCTGACATCACACAACCTACCTAGGTTGGAACAAGAAGAAATTGAGACCCTAAATAAACCAATAACAATCAAGGAAATCGACCACGTAATAAGAAAACTTCCTACAAAAAAAAGCCCTGGTCCAGATGGCTTTCCAGCAGAATTCTACAGGACATTTAAGGAGGAGCTGATACCAATCCTACTGAAGGTATTCCAGGCGATTGAAAAAGATGGAACTCTCCCCAAATCATTTTACGAAGCCAACATCACATTGATACCCAAACCAGGTAAAGATCCAACAAAGAAAGAGAACTACAGGCCAATATCTTTGATGAACACAGATGCTAAAATTCTCAACAAGATCCTAGCAAACCGGATTCAGCAATACATCTCAAAAATCATCCATCATGACCAAGTAGGCTTCATTCCTGGCATGCAAGGCTGGTTCAATATTCGTAAAACCATAAATGTAATTAAATACATCAACAGATGTCAAAACAAAAACCACATGATCATATCACTAGATGCAGAAAAAGCTTTTGATAAAATCCAGCACCCCTTCTTGATAAAAACCCTTGAACATCTAGGCATACGGGGAACATACCTCAAAATAGTAAAAGCCATCTACGAGAAACCCACAGCCAGCATACTCCTAAATGGGCAAAAATTGGAACCAATTCCCCTGAAAACTGGAACTAGACAAGGATGCCCACTCTCTCCCCCCCTTTTCAACATAGTATTGGAAGTCCTGGCTAAAGCAATCAGAGAAGAGGAGGCAATCAGAGGTATTCAAATAGGAAAAGAGGAAGTCAAGTTATCTCTCTATGCAGATGATATGATGGTGTACCTTGAAACCCAGAGAATCTGTCAAAGGTCTCCTTACATTGATAAAAGCCTTTGGCAAAGTCTCAGGATACAAAATAAATGTACAAAAGACAATCGCATTTCTCTACACCAATAATAAACAAACAGAAACCCAAATAAAAGAACACAGTTCCATTCACAATAGCCACAAAAAAAATGAAATACCTTGGCATCTTCCTGACCAGAGACGTGAAAGACCTTTACAATGAAAATTACAAAACACTGCTCAAAGAAATCAAAGCCGACATGAACAAGTGGAAAAATATCCCATGCTCATGGATCGGAAGAATCAACATTGTGAAGATGTCCATCTTACCTAAGGCAATCTACAAATTCAATGCAATACCCATTAAATTACCAACAACATTCTTTTCAGACCTAGAAAAAACAACACAGGAATTCATATGGAAACACAAACATCCAAGAATAGCCAGAACAATCCTCAGCAAAAAAAACAAAGCAGGTGGTATCACAATACCAGATTTCAAACTTTACTATAAAGCTACAATCATCAAAACAGCTTGGTATTGGTACAGGAACAGGCATATAGATCAATGGAACAGAATTGAGATTCCAGAAGCAAAACCTCAATTTCTCAACCAACTCATCTTCGACAAACCCCCCACCACCTACCAATGGGGAGAGGAGAATCTATTCAGTAAATGGTGCTGGGAAAATTGACTGACCACATGCAGAAGATTGAAACAGGACCCCTATCTATCCCCATGCACAAAGGTTAACTCCAAATGGATCAGAGACCTAAATGTAAAACCTCAAACCATAAGAACCTTAGAAAAGGAAGGAAATACTCTCGTGGAAATCGGAACTGGCATCCAATTTCTGTACAAAATCCGAAACCCACAGGACTTAAGAGAGAAGATAGACAAATGGGACCTTATTAAACTGACAAGCTTCTGCAAAGCCAAAGAAACCATCAAGAGAGCAGGGAGACAGCCCACAGACTGGGAAAAAGTATTTGCCAACTCTAGGTCTGACAAAGGCTTAACATCCTGGATCTACAAGGAACTGAAGCGTACTGAAAAGAAGAAAACAAACAACCCCATTATAAAATGGGCAAAAGACATGAACAGACACTTCACAAAAGAAGACATTCGAGCAGCCAACAAACACATGAAGAAATGCTCAACCTCACTAATCATCAGGGAGATGCAAATCAAAACCACACTGAGATACCACCTAACTCCAGTCAGAATGGCAATTATCAACAACTCAAAAAATAACAGCTGCTGGAGAGGGTGTGGTGAAAAGGGAACACTTCTACACTGTTGGTGGGAGTGTAAACTAGTGCAACCTCTGTGGAAAGCAGTGTGGCGATTCCTAAAAGCTCTAAAAATTGACCTTCCATATGACCCTGCAATCCCCCTACTGGGAATATACCCTGAAGAACACAAATCACTCTATAAAAAAGATACCTGCACACGTATGTTTATCGCAGCATTGTTCACAATAGCAAGAACCTGGAAACAACCATGCTGCCCATCAAAAGAGGACTGGATTAAAAAAATGTGGTACATATACACGATGGAATACTACGCAGCCATAAAAAAAGAACAAAATCATGAATTTCGCTGCAACCTGGATGGAACTAGAGTCTATAATACTGAGTGACCTTTCCCAAAAACAGAAATCCGAATTTCACATGTTCTCACTCATTTAATGGGCCTTGACCATCCAATGCAATACTATGAGAAAATGACGGATGGTACTGGGAAACTATGGGGGGGAGGGGGATGGGATTAACAGTAGCAAATATCTGTCGGGGGATGGGAAAACACTTCTTATCTACAGGGTGCCTGAATGAAACGTCATTGTACACCTACCCTTAACTGTACCCCACAAAACCATAATAAAAACTACTGATTAATGAAAAAGAAAAAAAAAAAAAAAAAAAAGAGTACATTTGTTCTGACCTAGCTCAGTTCTTCTGTGGTTGGTACTGGATTGATTACAGGATTTTATCTGTAATAAATTATTTATGTGTTAAAAAAAAAAAAGACTAATTTAAAAATCTGTGGGTTTCTTTTTCTTCTGTAAATCCAAATTTTTATGTGCTTAAAATATGCTTAAAGTAAGGGACATTGATATTCTTTTTGGAAAAATGAACTTAAATGAAAGTCAGGTTTTTTTAATAGACATGGAAATGCTAAAATATTATTTTAATGACACCCATTTATTGGTTTAGAATAGTTTGTGTGGTTAATTCATAGTTGGATTACAGTGTATCAATCACAGTGTAGAATTCAATAAAGGATCGGTTTATAAGAGAAAGTCTTTTTTTATTGATTCTATCTTTGGGCACTAAATATATTTGTAGTGGATAGTTAGTGTTGTATCTGTTTTGACTTTTTAACTTTGTCTAGTATGCTCATATGATAAACTTTCTAGTTTTAGACTTACTGAAGAAAATAAACATAATTTTTATGTATGTTTGCATTTTTTTATAGTCAGAAACCAACTTAAGCAAAGAAATGGAATCTGTAATGAAAGATATTAAAAATACCACTCAGAAGAAATATAGAGACTATAGCAAGACCCCAGGCTCTCCAGACAATGATTTTCTCTTTATGTACTCTGTTGCTAGGTAGGTATATATAGTATATGCTTTTGTAGTTACTTGTTATTAATAGATGATTTTATTGTTTAAAAAATATTTTATTTATTGCCATTTACATTTATTTAAAGAAAGGATGCATATTTTTAATATTGGTTTGAAAGTATAGCTAGTTTTAGTACCTCCTAGGAGGACTCTAAATGGGCAACTTTCCTTTATTTCCTGAAGAGTTTCCATTTTAATGAAATGTTTGGGTAAGTATTATTAAGCATTATAGAACATGTGGCGAAAAGTATGTTATTAATGTTTTGGGACAGATATGTACCTCAAAGTATGTCAGTATTTTATTATGACCTGTCAAAAATGGTAACACTGAGAACTAAAACATTGTAATAGGTTAAACACTTTGATTTATGGAAAAGTAAGTAGTAGAGAAACTTACTTTGTTTGTTTGTTTTAGCCTAGTGAAAGATCTAGTAATATCCTAGATCTAGTAATATCCTAGTTTAGAAAAATCAGGTAAAAGAGGGGAAGTAAGAGATCAGGCATGTTCTAAACCTCTATTTGTAATGAGTAGGGGGCTTAAGAAAGCCATTAGAAATAAATGTTTCTCATCTTTCAGATTAAGGATTAGTTTAGTTGACTGTGTTCAATACCTAAGGATTAGTTCTAAATAGGAATTTTAGAGAACTTAGTTGAGTGAAAATGGAGAACCATAAAAGAAGTGAATAGGGGATAAACACACAGTTTGGAACTTGTAAACACATTCTGCTGTAACAATATTGTACACCCTTTGAATATCTCTTGAATCATACTTTGTAGCTTATCCAAGCAGTACTGTGATAGGTAAGATTTAGACAGATAATATGATTTGAAGTCATGCAGCAGGTTAGTGGCAGAATAGAATTAAAATTCATGTCTTTTGAGGCAAGGTTGGGTTTTTATTTTTTCAGTTACTGCTTCTGTGTTCAGCTTTTATAGGTTGTATGATGCATACAGTTCATCATGGCTGTTTTCTCTGCCTCATTCCTGGAGCAGAGGATAATAAAAGAGTAAATGAACTGTGTATATGTAGCCTTTGGAACTCAGGAGAAATAAAACCAGACTTAGAAAAATTGGAGCAAGCAAGTTAGAAATCAAGATAAGAAACATTAGTCTCTGGTTGAGAATGCAAATACTGGCCATGGATTGATGTAAAAGAATCTGATGCATTAGAAAGTTAAGTTTCTCGGCTGCATTTTTCTAGACTGTTGTTTATCTAGAATGCTTTAGGAGAAGATATAACAGTTGATATGATATTTTGTTTCTGGAGAGTTCCCAATTATTGCATTCTTGCAATAAGAGATACTTTATGTGAAAACTAAACTGGATGTAATTTAATTTTGCTAAGGTTTTGGGGTTTTACAGAACTTGTATACAATATTATGATTACAACATTATAGAAGATTGGGTTTAATGTAAACCCCACTCAGTTCTACTACATATATTTATATACACACTCATATTTATGTTGCTCATGTTTTATGCCTTTGATTTTATTAGAGTTGGCCTTATAAGAAAATCCTGATTGAATGGAAATTATCTTGTACATGGAATTTTCCTATAGTATGATAAATCAAATAACTTGATTTAAATATAATTAGGTAGACGTTTTAGAACATCATTTCTTGGTTTATATATATAAATAACTTATAGGAAAAAAGCTTGTGATGATAATGAGAGACTTTTAGACAAAAACATATTGCTTTTCTTATTTTAGAAAAGCAGGGACAGATGTCAGATGCCATACTAAAGTTGTAGGTAGAGAAACAGAGAATCCATCCCCCCATCTTTTTCTGATACCTAATGATAAACTCTAAAGCAGCAAAATAATAATTCTGGAAGTGGAAGTATTTAGCACTTAAAAATCTTATTATTCTTTAATTGGAATTACCCAAAGCATTGCGAAAATTATTCCAGTGAGGTGCATGCCCTTTCTAAGTTTTACTTGGTCATTAGAAAGAAAGCAAAAAGTAAATTTACTAAAAAATTAACAAAACATGAATTGAAGGAAAAATCATGTTGTACCCTATTTGAATAGGATATAATTTTCTCAAAATAGAAAATCAGATCTTTAATTATTCCATGCCTAATGTATGACTTATTTCACAAATACTTATGATTATAGAAATCTTTATTCCTAAAAGGTGGGCATTAAAATATTTAGCAGTATTTAAATATTTAGCAACAAACTTATTTTAAATTATTTAACTTTTGAATGAAATGTAGTGATTCTTAAATGTACAATTCATGAGAACTTGCAAGTTTATTTGTATTTTGTGTCAGTAATTTGAGTGAATTCATCTCTAGTTTCTCAGAGGTGAATTTCTCCCAGCTGGATAAATAATTTTGTTTGCTCTTCAGGGAGCTTAAATTTTTGATGTTTAGACACAAAATATTTCTGGTGCACTTTAGAACTTATTTTTTGATAGGACTATATATATATTTTTGTTTTTAATTTTATTTACAATATGAAGCCATGGAAGGTTTTTCTGAGGGCAGCTGAGAAGACTGTTGGAAAATCTTTCTAAAATTAAATTCCTTTTTAAAGTTAATCAAAATCACTGCATTCAAGTTTTAATAGATTCTTGAAATTTCCATTCTGTTGCAAATATCAATAATTCAAATGGATAATGGAAAGTTAATTTGGGGGAAGAAAATTTTCTTCATTCCAATAGTAATTCATTATTTTATTCTTGAAATAATAAATAACATGAATGTTAGTAATTGATTTCTCCAAAGATATGTGGACCCAAGTTACGTAGTCTAGAGATATTGGTGAGTAACACTTGGCCTGTATATAGTGAGGAAAATGGATAGAAGATGAAACTTGAGTAACTGCAGTATATATGGAGAGACATCTTTAAATCACTAGGGGGTACTCAGAAGAGTGAAGGCACTTTGCTTCATACATCAGTTGCATTGTAAGTCTAAACTTTGTAAATTGATTATATTAAAAATAAAAGGAGTGCTTGCTAAAATGCCAAACTGTGAATTCTTTTAAAATAAAAAAATTATTTTCCAAATCCTCTTTTTGTGGGGAGGAGTCACTGCTGGATACAAAGGAATGGAAGAATCAACAACAGACAGAAAATAAACTGCAAAGACTAAAGAGAATCTTATAATTGGCTACATATCAAAACAAAGAGATTGTCAGTGCCCATGATTTTTTTTTTAAAATCACTTTGCTAGGTACTATTGGACATTTAGAAGCTATGTATATGAAATAGTCCTTGCTCTCTAGGAATTTACAGTTTAGTTGGAGAGAAAAATCGACATAACATCAATCTATAAAAAATAGAATATAATTTGTTTTTGAAAACGTCCTATAGAGAAAGTGCGGTGGAACTTCAAAAGGGAAGATGAGCAAATTGAAATACAAAGTATGCCGAAGTCCTTCTTTCCTGTCTCAGGAGAGCTTCCTGAAGAAGTTAGAACTTAAGCTGTATCTTATAAAATGTGGGTTGTAGTATGAATGAAGATACTGTTTTTCTCTGAGATTGGGTAACTTGCTAAACTAGTAAGTGGTAGGCTCAGGCCTGAACCCATATCTTTTTCCAGAGCCTTTGCCCTTTCTACTATACCAATATGTATTTCAGTGTGTGTACACATGTGTTTTTCTTTTTTTAAGTTTTAAAACAGGGTTTATTAGAGAAAGGAGAGAAAACAGAAAACAAGGACAGGTGAAAATTTTGTACCAGAACGGCCTGGCATGCACAAGTCTCTAAAAGGATAGACTTCCACACATGCATTTTTCAAAGTATAGCTCTAAAAATAGAAGTTAGTACTGAAGAGGGCTTGAGGGGAGAGCAGACTTTGGTCATGCAAAAAGAAACTGGAGCATGGATAGAGGTTTTTTTTTATATGGACATGTATCTAGGTGGCTACTATGATAGGCTTTAAGCAGTCTTTTTCATCATTCTTTCAGATGTAGGGATTTTCTCTTTTTTTCTTTCAAACTAATTTGCATGTATTTGTGTTAGAAAATGTAGAAACGAGTCTCCTTTTCTTTAAGAACAGAAACTCAGAAAATCCCCCCCCCAGCATATCTTTATTTTTGAATCACTCATTGAAAAGAGCAGAAACAGAATATTGTGTTGTGCTTTTCAACAGTGAGGAAAGATAGATATGGGGCACATGGCTCATTTGTATGTTCTTTACTCTAGCAGATCTCAAATTAAAGGGTTGATTTTAATATCAATGAAATAAGGAAAAGTTGATGATTAGGGCCTTATTTATTTTTAAAATCCTAAATGTTGCTGGATATGGAGGCTGAGGTAGGAAGACCACTTCAGCCTGGGAATTCAAATCCAGTCTGGTCAACATAGCAAGACTTCATCTCTTTAAAAAAAATTTAAAAATTCTTGATATTATTATATATTAATTCTTTGATTAGGTGATTTTTGTTTTTTAACTCAGAAGAAATGTTGTTTAGGAGATCCAACTATAATCTGAAATAATTCAATTTAACGGTTTTTAATTTCAAGTATTCTTTAAAATGAAATTCCTAGTAACATGCTTGTTGTCCTTTAAAATATCATATTTCGTAATTGAGTAAACAGAATTGCTCTTGTATTTATATTTTAATAAATATTGTTGCAAATATGGTGAATGTTGACATTCTGGTTCTGACATTCATGTGTAAGAATTGTTCATGTTTCTGGTTAGCTCTCTTAAAAGTACTATCTAGGAAATCTTAGTTTGTATAAGAGAATATAGCCATTAATTTTTTTCTACAGATTAGGCAACAGAAGATTTGTGAAAACAAAATGTATTGATCTCATTTATAGTCCCTTGATGAAGGAACACATGCTGGTCTCCGCTCGCTTTCTGTCCACTAATATGAAATCCTTGTCCCTGCTTCCTTGCTGGTAGGTTTTTAGAAGTTCAGTGAGCAATGCAAATCGCCTGAAGGGTGGAAAATTCCCTTGTCACACAGATGCCCTTATCAGCAGCAACCAGATGGAGCTCTGAGCAGGAACATTATCAATGTGAAATTGCTTTCCCTCCCTTGAGTAGAGAGGATTAAAGCATTCCTTTAGAAATGGGTGGCAAATGTACAGACTTAGGAATATTAATATTTGTAACAGTTTACATTTATAAGTAAATACATGAAAATATCATTTCCAAACAGTCTGTGTTTAAAATACAACCAACCAGTTCAAAATGTTTTGTTTTAAATAAAACAAGATAATTGTCTTTTTTGAATTCACTTGCAAAGAGTAAGCTTGAAATTTGCCTTTTTTTAAAAGTGGGTAGATATCTCACTATTATGTTAAATGCATATTTTGGATATAAACTAGTTAATTTACTTTGAGTTCTAGAAAATAAAGGTATGTTTAAGTTTACTGTTGAAGTAAAATACAGTTTAAATTATCTCAAAAATTTTAGTTATTATTTTGGCATAATAGGTTCTTTTACTGTTACCGTTTTTGAATAAATTTTTAGATACTGTGTAAGTTTGACTTTTGAAATGCCCGTTTATTAATTATTGCTACTCTGTTCACCAATAATCGCTAAATGCCTTGCCATTTCAGATCTATATGAACAATTCTGATGTTTAGCCATGTTGGTAGTTACACAGTGTATTTTAATAAAATTGTAGTTTTAGAAATCCATAAAAGAAACTGCTGTTAATTATAATGTGGTGTTCATAGCTACTTTGATATTAGTTATTTTATTTTTTAATATTGATTTCTAGATACAATCTAAGCTCCAATGAATGATAACCATTTCTCTGATAGAAAAATTGGGATGCCCTTATGTTTTATATGATAGTAACCACCTACCCAGTGACTGACATTGAAGTACAAATTCTTTCATCATATTTATGTGCAGGTTTATGAAATATGTTGTGGTTTTTTTCTTAAGGTCTAGTTTTTAGTATTTGCCAGCAGTTGGGACTTTGCATCAGTTACACCATGTTGTATACAATTTTTTACAGGTATAAATATGAATATGTAAGTAAGGGTGAATAAACTGTTTACTTTTTATTTCAAAATATCAGATAAAATATGATTATTACTGATAGTACATAAATGGTGCTTTTGTAAATAGTAAAGTTAAAGGACTTTATTATTTAGGTTGATTCAAACATGTCAACAAAGTAAATTAAAAAGAATCTTCAGTGTAATGACTGAGGTATATTATAATGCTTTACTTACAGAACCAATTTGGAACTTGAATTGATTCACCGAGGAGGCAACTTGTGTTCAGGTGGTGCAAGCACAGCTGGTAAAAGATCTTGTTTAAGTAAGTACTAAATAGTACTAAATAAAAAAAAATTATTTTAATGTCATTTTTGCAAGAATATGTAGGCAAAGTGGTCTCGGTGTATTTTCAAATTCTGTTTGCTTCTGTTTTATGTGATCCATTTTGACTATGATATATACTTTTTTTGATATATACTTTAAATGACTCATTTTTTACTTAGAAGAATCATATGATTAGTTAGCTGTTTCTAGACTGTGATTACTTAGTAAATAAATGTCATACTGATTGATCAGGTTTATATTATTTCAAAATTAAAACCCTGTATTATTCTCAGCTATAAAAAGTCCTCAAACTTAAATTCTTTTAAAGAATTTTTTCATTGAGTTGATTTAAGAAAATCTTTTTATAAAAGCAATATATTTCACCTACCTTTTTCTATTGTTGCTATTAACTAATGAAACTATTTGTGGTGTATTTTTTAATGGGTCTTAAAAATGTATTAAAATTGTGGATGTTAGCTTCCATTTATGTATATACTTTGTGTTATAAAATGAGCATGAGTCTTCAATATTATATGTGTAGGTATATTAAAAGTATAATTTGGAACTTTAAGTTTTTATGAGCATGGTTTTGGTGGTATCACTATTTAGACTTGTTTAGATAACTGGTGTGATTACTAGGAGTAACACTAATAATATCACTGGAGTTGAAATGTGATTGATACAGGAAATAAAACTTGTTTATATACATATATTCTTTTGAAAAATGAACATATTTTCTTAAATACTGAAAATAATAGCAATAGTTAAAAATATAAGCGCATTATTTAACAAAATATGCTATTTCAAAAAACTGTAATTTTGAATTGACTTCAAAGCAAAGGAGTAATAAAAAACACTTTAGAATTTCTGACATCAAAATACAAATGTGAAATTTCAACTTTGTTATATTTAAAAATCCTATAAGTCATGTTACATTTTGATATTTTATTATGGATTGTCACTTGGTTCCAAGATCTTATGGTTTGGGAGGTTATTCTTACCAAGTATTTAGTATATGCTGACCCCTTGATGCATATGTCTAATCTCTACTTATACTCAGTGTCTTAGTATTTTTTAAAGGAGAAATTGTTGGTACATAAGAATTTTAGTTTTTGATCTGTTTGAATTAGTAGATACTATCATTTCAGTTATATAAATTATTATTTCTTGTTAATTTATTCTTAATTGATATTTGGCATTGGCTGGCGGTATTCCAGAAACAGTTGTATTATGAAGTGTTCACTTTAGTAAAGGAATTTCTGTTTTATGTTAAAAAAAAAAAATTTATTCTATTTTTTCTGTGAGACACTTAAATTTATCCAGAGGCCTGTAACTGATGAATTTATTCAGAATCCTGAAAATAGAAATAAAATTCTAGTGGCAATTACTTCAATTATGAGACTCAATTTTAATTTAAATAGTTAAATTGATAGTTACTTCCAGACTTTTGTTTCTTTTTTTCCCCTCTTTACTGAATAAGAGATTTTACTGTTTCGTATAGAAAAGGTCATGATGAAGTTCATCCTAAATACAAGTTAATATTGCATTTAATTTTTGTATGATTTATTATTGTTCAATTGCTTATATATAATTTATCCTGATGTTAATAAAAGCAGCCCTGTAAGTCATGCATATAGACTATATTGAATATTATATAAAATTTCACTACCTTACAAGTGTATGAACTTAACATTGTTATTTATTCAAATCTAATTAAAACCTAACTTAACATCAGGACTTAAATTGGTGGTGTTTCAAAGGATCTTAGAGCAAACATCTCATTTTTTTCCACCTTCCAGTGGCTCTTCAGTGGTATTATTAAGCAAAAATTCTACCTTTTTTCCTAAGCAATCCTCATGCATCAACGTTTTCCTTTCTCAATTGATTGTTCTCCATTACTTTGATATATATTTTTTTCTTCTTTTAATTTTTATTTTAAAACTGTGGGGGTACAATTCAGGGTTAGGTATACAGATATTCACTGTTCAGGTGCCCCTGTTGATGAGGTATGCCCCCCCTTCCCCAGGTAGATATCGACTACTGTCAATCCCACCTCCCCTTCCCCCCTCGTCCCCCCCCCACAGTTTCCCACTACTGTCAATCCTTTTCTTATAGTATTGTGGTAGTTGTTCAAGGTCCACTTATGAGTGAGAACATGTGATACTCAGCTCTTTGTTTCTGTGAGAGAGCACTCAGTATTATAAACTCTAATTCCATCTTGGTTGCTATGAAGTTCATGATTTTGTTCTTTTTTATGACTGCATAATATTCCATTGTATATATGTACCACATTTTTAAAATCCAGTCCTCTTGATGGGCAGCACAGTTGGTTCCATGTTCTTGCTATTGTGAACAATGCTGCAATAAGCATACGTGTGCAGGTATCTTTTTCATAGAGTGATTTGTGTTCTTCTGGGTATATTCCCAGTAGGGGGATTGCAGGGTCACATGGAAGGTCGATTTTTAGAACTTTTAGGAATCGCCACACTGATTTCCACAGAGACTGTACTAGTTTACACTCCCAGCGGTATAGAAATGTTCCCTTTTCACCACATCCTCTCCAGCATCTGTTATTTTTTAAGTGTTTTTCCCCCATAATGCCTTTGTGGAGAGTGAGTGAGAAAATGCTCTACTGATTAAGCAAATGATAAGAGAACTTTTATTTTTATCATTCTAAGAATACCACACTTTTGGAATACTGTTTCGTTGCAACTTCTTGATGAAGTTGAAGATTTATCTAGTCACAAAAAAAGTTTAGATTTTTGTCTTAAGAGAATTGAGTAATACCTTTTATAATTATTGTCACACACACACACACACACACACACACACACACACGGCAGGAGATGTGAGGAGGAAATTGTTCTTTCTACAACAATGAAAGTAGATAATATTATTGGCCAAATTAATACTGAGAAATCAAATAAAATTGAAGTGGAACAAAGCCATTCAACACCTATATCATCAAACAGATTTTTTAAAAGTTGAGGTAAAATGTGTCCAATCAAAATAAAAATTCAGTCTTAAATACGTGTCTGGGAATTTTTCACAATTAAAAAATAACCAAAATTAAATCACATAATATTATAGTATGGTATTTTGATAATGCCTTACACCTGCAGTGTTAAAGTTTATAAAGTGTTTTCATATAAATTATTTAATTTTTAGAATTACCATGTGAAATAGGTGTTGTCTCTTTTTCATAGAAAAGGAAACTGAAGTTCAGAGTGATTGCCTTGCCAAGTCACACAGCTGGAAAATGTCAGAACTTGCACTTGAACACCGCTCTTCTAACTCTCATTTCAGTTATTTAAGACATGTCCCCTGACCTTAAGTGCCCCAAAGGATGCAGAACCCTTAACACCTTTCACTCATGAGTTTGGTGAAGACTGAATACTCTTGCCTTGGGATCTTTCCAGCTCTGCTATGATAATCCTCCAGTTTATCTTGTCTGTTTCTTTTGACAGCCTTTCACTGTGAATACTATTTTAGTTTTGAGCCACCCCTTCAGACATTTTCTCACGTCCCAAGTCCTTCTTCCCTGGATACAAGTTGGTTCTCCTTTATCCCTCACCTGTAGTTTGCTGTTTGTTTCCCCCTTGCACTTGCTGCGTGTCATCTGCATCAGCCCTCACATATATCACTGCTCTTGATTCCTGGGTCAGAGCTGTAGGCCTCCTCCTTATCCACCAGGGAAGGTCAGACATTTGGGACCTTGTATTCAACAGATGAAGCTGGTTCTAGCTAATTTAGTGTAAAATAGAAAGTGTTTAAGTTCTAAAGAGGCTTTAGATGGAGTTCTAGGAAATTTAGAGGTTTGGGATCATAGCTATCTGGTGTAATCATTGAAACTTTTAATGGATGTAGATTTGAGCATGACTTTGAAAGATAAGTGAGGTTTAGAGTTGTTACAAATTGATATTTACACTGATAAGTACCACCAACTTGTTTTAACACCATATGTAAGACAAAGCAGATATAAAAAGGAAAGGCATAACTTTTTGTTAGAAAAAATATTTTATTAAGGTTACTTGTTAGTATCTTTATTCAAGGGGTTTGAAAGTAAATATGAAACTCCATAGATTCTAGTGAATAGTGTATTTTTCCAGGTAGAAATTGTCAAAATCATTGGTGACGTCATTTGATAAATTATTAATATTGAAACATAATATAAAAAATACTTATCTTTAGATAGGATCACATCTTTTCATATTTTTGGGTCTGAGACTTTCTGCTTATTGCTGTAATTTAACTAAGAAGCCACAGTTCATGTCTCAAATCAATTCCATGATTTTATATAGAGATTGAAAATTAAAATAATCAAGAGAGGGTAAGGCAAACTCTTGCTTTAACATTATCATTTGAAAAGTTCTAACTTAATTTTTTATGTACTCTGTGATCTTATCAAGAAATGATGCATAGTTTCTATACTTAACTTCCACCTTGTTTGTTAGTCATAATATGGAATCCGGTTTATATCTGTGCAGGCTACTTAAAATAGTTGTTAGCCTGGGACACACCATCTTAGAGACCCCTGCCACTTTGCTAGCTACCCTGGGATGGAAAGTTACCAACTTGGACAAAACATACTGCCATATGTAGCACCTAACCACAAGGCTTCCTCCCAACTTACTTAACCATAAACCTTAGTTACTCCCCTAGCAACTCCAACTCCAATGTTTTCCCCTCAAGCTTTATAACTGCCCTAGCCTGTAAGGAGGGTGGGCTTCAGTTTCATCTGGAGTCCCCTTTGCAGGTTTTCCTCCTTGCTGTTGAGCTGGCTGTCTCTCGTCTCTCTTTTCCTATCTGCTTGTTTTCCTGACCTAACAAGTTTTAGTTGCTCAGATTTTTGGTGAATTTAGAATTACACAAAGTTATTTTGACATTAATTTTTCTCTGCAGCATAAAGATATTGTTAAACAAATGATAAGTTTACACAAAGTGACACTTAAGTAGCTGGCTTTATTCTTTAATACTTAGTGGTAAAATTTTGACGTT